TAATGTAGCGGTCATGCACCTAAGTATAACGTTGAGTGTGGACAATAATGTAGTGATCATGCACCTATATGCATATTGTTGAGCATAGCTAATACTGTAGTAATCATGCACCTAAGTATAATGTTGAGTATAGACAATAATGTAGTGATCACGCACCTATATGTATATTGTTCAGCATAGACAATAATGTAGTGGTCATGAACCTAAGTATAATGTTGACCATAGACAATAATGTAGTTATCATGCACCTAAGTGTAAATGTTGAGCATAGAAAATAATGTAGTTATCATGCACCTAAGTATAATGTTGACCATAGACAATAATGTAGTTATCATGCACCTAAGTATAATGTTGACCATAGACAATAATGTAGTTATCATGAACCTAAGTATAATGTTGACCATAGACAATAATGTAGTTATCATGCACCTAAGTATAATGTTGACCATAGACAATAATGTAGTTATCATGAACCTAAGTATAATGTTGAGCATAGAAAATAATGTAGTGTTCATGAACTTAAGTATAATCTTGAGCATAGACAATAACGCAGAGATCATGCACCTAAGAATATTGTTGACCATAGACAATAATGTAGTGATCATGAACCTAAGTATAATGTTGACTATAGACAATAATGTAGCGGTCATGCACCTAAGTATAACGTTGAGTGTGGACAACAATGTAGTGATCATGCACCTATATGTATATTGTTGAGCATAGTTAATACTGTAGTGATCATGCTCCTCAGTATAATGTTGAGTATAGACAATAATGTAGTGATCACGCACCTATATGTATATTGTTGAGCAAGACAATAATGTAGTGATCATGAACCTAAGTATAATGTTGACCATAGACAATAATGTAGCGATTATGCCTCTATGGGTATAATGTTGACCATAGACAATAATGTAGTTATCATGCACCTATATGTATATTGTTGAGCATAGACAATAATGTAGTGATCATGAACCTAAGTATAATGTTGACCATAGACAATAATGTAGCGAGTATGCCTCTATGGGTATAATGTTGACCATAGACAATAATGTAGTGATCATGCACCTATATGTATATTGTTCAGCATAGACAATAATGTAGTGATCATGAACCTAAGTATAATGTTGACCATAGGCAATAATGCAGTTGTCACGCATCTAAGTATAATGTTGACCATAGACAATAATATAGTGATCATGAACCTAAGTATAATGTTTACCATTGACAATAATGTAGCGGCCTTGCACCTAAGTGTAACGTTGACTATAGACAATAATGTAGCGGTCATGCACCTAAGTATAACGTTGAGTGTGGACAACAATGTAGTGATCATGCACCTATATGTATATTGTTGAGCATAGTTAATACTGTAGTGATCATGCTCCTAAGTATAATATTGAGTATAGACAATAATGTAGTGATCACGCACCTATATGTATATCGTTGAGCATAGACAATAATGTAGTGATCATGAACCTAAGTATAATGTTGACCATAGACAATAATGTAGCGATTATGCCTCTATGGGTATAATGTTGACCATAGAGAATAATGTAGTTATCATGCGCCTATATGTATATTGTTGAGCATAGACAATAATGTAGTGATCATGAACCTAAGTATAATGTTGACCATAGACAATAATGCAGTTATCATGCATTAAGTATAATGTTGACCATAGACAATAATGTAGTGATCATGAACCTAAGTATAATGTTTACCATTGACAATAATGTAGCGGCCTTGCACCTAAGTATAACGTTGAGTGTGGACAATAATGTAGTGATCACGCACCTATATGTATATTGTTGAGCATAGACAATAATATAGTGATCATGAACCTAGTATAATCTTGTGCATAAACAATAATGTAGCGATTGTGCCTCTATGGGTATAATGTTGACCATAGACAATAATGTAGTTATCATGCACCTGTATGTATAATGTTGACCATAGACAATAATGTAGTGATCATGAACCTAAGTATAATGTTTACCATAGACAATAATGTAGCGGCCATGCACCTAAGTATAATGTTGAGAATAGACAATAATGTAGTGTTCATGAACTTAAGTATAAACTTGAGTATAGACAATAACGCAGAGATCATGCACCTAAGCAGAATGTTAACCATAGACAATAATGTAGTGATCACGCCACTATATGTTTATTGTTGAGCATAGACAATAATGTAGTGATCACGCACCTAAGTATAATGTTGAGCATAAACAATAATGTAGTGATCATGAACCTAGTATAATCTTGTGCATAAACAATAATGTAGTGATTATGCATCTATGGGTATAATGTTGAGCATAGACAATAATGTAGTTATCATGCACCTGTATGTATAATGTTGAGAACAGACAATAATGTAGTGTTCATGAACTTAGGCAATAATGCAGTTATCATGTGCCTGTATGTATAATGTTGAGCATAGACAATAACACAAATTCTGCACCTAAGTATTATGTTGAGGATAGACAATAATGTAGTGATCAAGCACCTGTACGTATAATGTTGGGCATAGACAATAACGCAGAGATTCTGCACCTAAGTATAATGTTGAGCATGGACAATAATGTAGTGATGATGAACCTAAGCATAATGTTGAACATGGACAATAATGTAGTGATCATGCACCTGTAGGTATAATGTTGGGCATAGACAATAACGCAGAGATCATGCACCTAAGTATAATGTTAAGCATGGACAATGATGTAGTGATCATGCACCTGTAGGTATAATGTTGGGCATAGACAATAACGCAGAGATCATGCACCTAAGTATAATGTTGAGCATAGACAATAATGTAGTGATCATGAACCTAACTATAATGTTGAGCATGGACCATAATGTAGTGATCATGCATCTGTAGGTATAATGTTGAGCATAGACAATAATGTAGTGACCATGCGCCTGTAGGTATAATGTTGAGCATAGACAATAATGTAGTGATCATGCACCTGTAGGTATAATGTTGGACATAGACAATAACGCAGAAATCATCCATCTAAGTATAATGTTGAGTATAGACAATAATGTAGTGACCATGCGCCCGTATGTATAATGTTGAGCATAGACAATAATGTAGTGAGAATGCACCTGTAGGTATAATGTTGGACATAGACAATAACGCAGAGGTCATGCACCTAAGTATAATGTTGAGCATGGACAATAATGTAGTGATCATGCACCTGTAGGTATAATGTTGGACATAGACAATGACGCAGAGATCATGCACTTAAGTATAATATTTATGGCGGATGGTGGCAGTGTTTCCATTCATAGTTGGTGTCGTCCACCTGTATCACCGATGCCGGACAGGTTGTCGTCTTGTTCCTGACGCTGCAGCGCCAGAATGCTGAAGTTTTCTGCAAACACCAAATGAAAAAATAAATGACATACTATCTTAGATTATATTATATTCTTATGAGATATAAATAAATGTTTGTGTTTAAAAACAAGTATAAAGATATTTACCCGAACGACGTACGTGAATCCATAATAATCCACAAGCTTCTTTTTGCCCTTCTGCGGCCCTGTCTCAACCAAAGTGTAGACATTCTCTGGCAAGGTCGGCAGAAGGGGGCTCCTATGGGCGGCCATTCGGTCAAAAAATACAAAGTTTAAAAAAGGACAAAAATAGGCAATTAAGGTCAAATATTACGAATAAAGAACTAAATGTTACTACTAAAGGTCAAAATACAATATATATACATGTATATCTATGTGTGTGGACCGGTTATGAGACGCCTGTAACATAACATATATTTCACACACAGCTGCGATACATACATCCCTGACTTACGCATACATTTCGGCATCAACTTACAAGTTGTCTTTGTCACAAATATAAATGTGGATGTAAACAAACGAAATAAATATGGTTTGAAAACGAACGCTGTCGTCATAGATGAAACTCGATTTTCTTTATTTATGGCGAGCTATTTTTCCTAACGAATGTGTAAGTTATACATATGTACACAAATCCATTTGGTATAAATATATTTGTTGTTCAGATATTAGGCAGCATTTTGTTCGCACACAGTTTCCGAAAAGCTGTTAAATAAAACAAACTCTCGCACAACGTTCACTTTTCAGATGAAAATGTGCGTCTGAAACAAAACTCGGCATCATAGCACGTCCTTTCGTACACATTGTTCTTTCTTTTCTTATGACGTCTTTTCGTAACATTTGACTATTAATATTGTATTTTGACCTTTAGTAGTAACATTTAGCTCTTTATTCGTAATATTTTACCTTAATTGCGTATTTTTGTCCTGTTTTATAAACCATGTTCCAGCATGGTGACATCTCTTATTGAACTCAAGAAATAATATAATAATATATTATGCTTCTATGAATACTATACTATGAATTATTATTATTATTATTATTATTATTATTATTATTATTATTAATAATAATTATATTTTTTGGCAAATACTTTGAAATAAAATAGTTACTTGTTACGGTCATCTTCGTCTTCTAAGCCGTAATGCCGTATTTCCGATAGGTCTGGTACTCTCATTTCTTCTGCATCTTCTGACTGGAAACTGACATCAAAGTTACCGATCACCTATTCAATGACTGGATCTACGCATCAGCGGAAAGGGAAGTCTTCTTCAGTCCGGCAAATTTCTCTATAACGGGCCACAGAAAGTCCAGTTCCACATACACGTAGGGTCCACTGGTCACATTTCTCACAGGATACAGCATGTTGATTTTTTCTGACATTCTACTCGCATGCAACAAATCGAAAGGCCATTGTGAATAATTGTGATCTGACAGCACTTACTTACTTATTTACTTTGGAGATTTAACGTGCGCTTTCCGACTGATGCGTATTTCGCACACGGGCCCGGCCAGGCCATTTAATGTGTTTCCGAAAGGGGCGAAAGTGGTATGTGCAACCCAAGAGGGGTAGGCCGTGGGCTAGGTATGACCCACGAAACATGATTTTGAATGTTAACAAGAAAAAAGTTGGGACGAACCTTTTGACGTTGAGCTACTTCGATGACATGCTGCCATCCATCCCGACTGAAGTTTGTGAGGCCTTCTGTTGTCCAGCTTCCTTTTAACTTGAATTTCTTTCATGAATATGAAGTACAAAAGATGCACTCAGGTTGGAAGATGATGGGCTCATAGGATGGACGCCGAATTGGGCGGCCAGCTAGTTCCAAAGATTCAATTTCAGGTTGTTTCAAACGGTCAAGGTTCATTGTAAAACGCTGATAATATTCTCTGTGATAGCCATGGGTTTCTTCCAGAACTGCCGGCAGGCTTGTACATGACACTTCCATTTGATTTGGCGTTTCTGGAGGTTCTGCCATCCTTCTACGTTTGATCTCTCCTTCAGCTTTTCGATCTTCTCATCTGGATCTTTGGCTTTGCTCAGACGTTATAGTGGGCCATACTTCAAGCCAGGTACATGTATGATGCACACTGGCTCTGGATCACTGGGGATACGTTTCCGTTGAGATGTCAAAGCTGTTTTTGAGTTGTTCCCGGTTGTATAAGATGTTGGTCTCAGTCACAACAGTTCAACCTCAAAAGACACATAATCACGGTGATGACATTGTTACAAGGTGGGACATTTCCATATATATTAACTTGGGTATTCTGTAAGAGAATCTTAGGTATGTAATTGGAATATCCTTTATTTCTGTGAATGCATGGTCCCTGTTCATTTCAAGCCATTCATATACGATTTGGACGATTCGCATTTGGATATTTTCTGTAAATTGGAAACTTAAGTAGCTAAGTTATGTATGAATTAAATGTTACTAAGTGAATTCGTCTTTTACCTCCGGTGGTTCCCCCTGCAAATTCACCTTAACTAGTAGCTGTACTAAAGAATCTGAAACTCAACTTAAAATGGCAAAATTTGTCAAAATATCAAGTCAGCGTCCAAGAAATTGATTTGTATATTTGCTGAAATTACATCAACATTATGATCAGTTTTTTTGCACAGCTTTATGGTTGCCATCTTGAATATGTTACACATAGGTCCATTTCATTCAAAGTTCTGAAATCGACTCGAGCATTATACTGTGAACCTCTTATATGCATACAAAAGTGAGTGATATCAGAGTTGTCAAGAAGTATTCTGTATGATTGTCCACAAGTAGATCAATAATCAGCCTACATCAAATTATGGTGTTTATATATGGTTTCCTATGGCATATAACACATCAAGGTCGGTGAATAACACACAAGATGACAAGCCAAATCCTGAGCATACATCCAAGCGTTGTTCCGATGTAGCTAAGCCGAGAATGCAATATTGGGTATCCTACTCTGATATTATAAGAGTATATTTGTTCCAAATTGTGCAAAAGATTTTCACCTGGTAACATCACATGTTAAGAAGTACTTCAAGAGATGTACTGGAACACGTGTTAGACGATTGTAGTGGAATCAGGCACACGTACATAGAACATATACCGGATTAAAGGTTTCTGCGAGAAGAATTTGGTTTTGTCGGGATATATGACGTTCGATTTGCCATGGGTTGGTCCATATTCACTCAATACCAACTATTGATACCTCATTGGAGAGGTACTTATATATGGCTTCCAGTGGTATATCACACTTGAAGATGAGTGGATCACTAGAGAGATGACAACCCAAAACGTAATCATACCCAAGAGTGATATACGGCAAAACCGGGCGAAAACGCGATATAGGGTACCAGAATTTTGGGTTTGGTTAGTGGTTTGCTGAGTACTTTTTTGATTTGGCTATTTGAGTTTAGATATAGGTTATGCCATTATTTGGTGATTTTTTTGCTTGTTTCCACTTTTAATTTCTGATTTTGAGATGGGTAAGTTTAAGCTTATTTCTGGGATTTTGAGGGATAGTGAAGCTGCTTTATCGGCGTTTTCATTACCGTATATTCCTACGTGGGCGGGGATCCATAAGAATGTTATTTGTTTGCCTGCCTTAGTTAGGTCGTTGGAGCTTTTAAGTATTTGATTTATTAATTTAGGTCGGTTTTTGGTATTTTTGTTTTGGAGGGCTTGCAGTCCACCTAGGGAGTCGGTAAGTATTAGGATTTTTTTTGGTTTTTGGATTCTTGATTATGGAGGGCTGAGGCCATGCCCATTAGTTCTGCCGTGAATATTGATTAGTTGTTTGGGAGTCGGAAGGATTGTGTGGTTTTAGTTGGTTGTGTGGTATGGACTCTGAAGATCCGTCCGTGTAAATGTGACACACATTTTGCCAATTTTCGTGTATGTATGCTAGTGTGGTGGTTTTAGCAATGTTTGGGTAGGTTTGTTTATTTATTTGGCTAGCTAGTGTTGTGTCAATTTTGGATTATTTTAAGTTTAGGGGTGAAGATATTTGATTGTTTGCAGTTTTGTTTAAGATTTTTAATTTGGTGTTCATTTAGGTAGTTTGTTATTCTTTGGGATATTGGGGTAAGTAAGGGGTGTTTACGAGCTAGAGCTGGGTTTTTGGGGCTGATGTTTTTGGTTTATTAAGTTTTGGATGAGAGGGTTTGATTGGGACGCGGCCCAGAAATTTAAGCTTAGCTGTTCCCTGCGTAGACTTAGTGGCATTTCTCCTGTTAAGGCCTGAAGTGAAGTGTTGGAGGTGCCATGTTGGGTGCGTGTAATTAGTTTGAGAGCCTGATATTGTATTGAGTCAAGTTTTTTAGATAGAGAGTTGTTTAGGGTGTTGTATATGCCGCAGCCGTAGTCTAGTTTTGATCTAATTAGTGATATGTAGAGAGAGAGGAGGGTATCTTTGGAGGCTCCCCAGTTAGAGCCAGTTAGGCATCCTAGCGTGTTTAGGTCTTTACTGCATTTAGTTGTTAGGTTTTGGATGAGAGCATCCCAGGAGAGATGTTCATCGAAAATAAGTCCTAAGAATCTGGTTTGTTTTTGAAATTTGATTGTTTGTTTGTTTAGCTGGGGGATTGGGTAGGCGGGTTTCATGTTTTTATGTTTGAATACTATTCCTGTTGTTTTTTCTGAGTTAAGGGAGCCCATTTGTCAGCCCATTGTTGTATTTTATTTAGAGATTTTTGGAGTACATTTTGGGCCATTTTAATGCTTTTAGTGCGGATCATCCGCGAATTTTGATGTGTTTAGTTTAGGGGATAGGCCCTCGAATAGATCGTTTATCATTATATTGAAGAGGGTGGGGCTGAGGAAACTGCCCTGGGGAGTGCCATTTTCTAGGGGACATTGGTCCGATAGTGTTTGGTCTATACCCACGGTTATTTTACGATTGTTTAGGAAGTCCTGGATGTAGTTTATTATCTGACCTTTGAGTCCTATTTTTTTAAATTTTTGTATTAGCCCGTCGTGCCATACCATGTCGAAAGCTTTAGAGAAGTCTAAGAAGATGCCTGTGGTATATTGTTTATTTAGATGTCCTGTCTTAATATCTTGCGAAAACGGCACCTTATTAATTTTTTTTACCTTGGTCAAATAAATGATATTAAACTTATATTGTAACTTGCAAAGGCCAATAATTGCGAGATGTTAAAACAAGTTTACATTAGAAATTAGCCTCTACTCCAACTATAATCCATCTTAGCTTGTACGAAACTCAACTTATTGTGAAAACATAACATGCTTTGAAGAAAAATAATAGAAATTAAACTCACATCGTCTCTTACAAACACAAATAATTGTGAAATAAAACAAGTAAGAAATTAGCCCCCTACTCCAATTTACTCACCGACTCTGATTGGGAGGCGCAGAAAACACTTTACGCTTTGAAGTTTAAGTACCTTTACTCAATTTTAGCTGAAACTGTAAGAGGCCTAACATGGTGGCCAAGTTGTCTAAGTCGCCCTGAGGCGCTGTGCAGAGTTGCGTCCCTTGGGCACGCCAGAAACCTATGGTTGTGGGTTCGAATCCCGGTTCGCTCCGGTTATGTTTCTAGGTTTGTCGGCACCAGACTCGATTATTTACTCACTTTCAAACCAATGCCCAGACAGACACACACTCACCCAGCAGGCCAACAAACACATAAACATAGACACGGCCAAAATCCAAACACGAAAATTTGCTACACCCGCATCCAAACCACTCCTCCCTACACCACACCCAAACACCATCCCACAAACAAACACCACACCCATAACCGACAGCTCTGTCTGGGGCCCCTACCGAGAAACCGCACCCACCTCACACACACAAGCAGCCACTCAACCAACCACGAACCCTCCCACATCTCACATAGCCAAAACATCAACCCCCGCATGCAAAACAAACCACAAAACGACCGCCACAACACAACCCTCATCCAAGCACCCTACAGCCCACATGGCAACAACACTCCCCCACAAGCAAGCACAACAACAAAACACAAACACTAAGAAATCCACAGCTACATCCATCCCGCAAACACCTACACAACCCTCCACATCACATGCCTCTCCTATGGAAACTCAAACAGCTAAACCTAATCTAACCGATGACGAAGATTTCTCCACTACTGAGGAAACAATAGACACTACTCAAACTGAAACAAACCAAACTTCCCTCTCAGCCCCAAAAGAAAAAGAAAACTAAACCGCAAAACTCCCCAACCAGCCAACACCCAAAACCTAAATAACCTCACCTTACTCCTAGTATACATGCATAGTCAGCGGCTTTCGACACCATAGATCATTCCATTCTAATGACAACACTCGAATCACGAGTTGGCATTACTGGAGATGCCTTATCTTGGATTGCTTCATATCTCCCAGGACGCTATCAATCAGTTATCATTAATGGAGTAAGATCAAAGAAGTATGAACTTAAGTTTGGAGTGCCTCAAGGCTCTGTCCTTGGCCCAATACTTTTCACCATCTACACCCTACCAGTAGGAGATATAGCAAGATCTCACAATCTAAACTTCCATATGTATGCTGATGATACACAATTGTATCTGGGATTCAGACCGTTGACTACATCATCAATAAGCACTACCTTTAAAGCAATCTCAAGCTGCATAGATGACATCAGATGCTGGATGAGAAGCAACTTTCTCAAACTTAATGATGACAAAATTGAGCTCTTGATCATCAGCTCTAAACAGATGCAGTCCAAAGTACGATTTCCTGGTTTGAAAATTGGGGACTGTACGGTTGAGCAAAACTCTTGTGCCCGAAATCTAGGCGTGATCATTGACTCAACACTCAGTCTCGATAACCATGTAAGCAGTATGTGCAAGACAGCTTACTTTCACATCAGGAACATCAGACAGATAGCAAGATACGTAGACACGGCATCAGTCAAGTGCCTAGTCCATGCATTTGTAACATCAAGACTTGACTATTGTAATAGTCTTCTGTATGGTATGCAGCAGCAGCATGGATAGACTACAGCGTGTGCAAAACGTACACTGCTGCCAGACTCATCACACGGAAGTCAATGCGTGAACACATTACACCCGTCCTGAAAGAGCTGCACTGGCTACCTGTGAGACTCAGGATCGTGTTCAAGCTGATCATGTTTGTCTACAAATCGATCCATGGGCTATCCCCAGTATACCTCCAGGAACTCACTGCCCTTTACCAACCTGGCCGAACACTGAGATCTGCAAACAAACTACAGCTTGCTGTTCCACCAACCAGCAGAACAACATATGGTGACAGAACCTTCCGAAAAGCAGGTGCAACTCTATGGAATGCACTGCCCATTGATGTCAGGGGATCTGAAGATGTCAACACCTTTAGATCAAAACTCAAGACCATCCTCTTCAAAAGAGCATACGACTGAGCGCTCTTGAGCAGGCAGTATGTCTGGATAAGTAGCGCTATATAAATGCGTAATTTAATTAATTAATTAATTAAATAGTCAAAACTCACCAAAAGCTAGCATGAAATTCTTCCACAAAGTAGCTTTCAATCTAAAATTAACCAATCTTCCCTTCTTCCTCTTTAACCTCCATCGAAAAGAAGTCACCGAATAAAATAAAAACTAAAAACTAAATCACCAATCACCCGAACCCAATAATGGAAGGACTAAATATTTTTCAGTGGAACGCCAACGGACTCACCTCCCACGGCCATGAACTAAAAACTAAATTTAAACTAAATAAAGGCCTTCACATTGCTTGTAACCAGGAATCCAAATTCTCAAAAAAATCCAAATTCACATTACCTAACTACAACTCAGTTAGAACTGACAGAGCTAAACCAAAAACAAGAAGAGCCGCAGGAGGACTAATCATATATATCAGGGAATATATAAATTACGAAGAAATAAAAATAGACACGCCAAACCTAGAAGCCAACGGCATTAAAATCACATTAAATAACCGAAAAATAATCATCATAAATATATACCACTGGGCGGAACAAAAAGTCCAACCTGAGGATCTAAAAAAACTACTCCAAATAAGCGATACATCTACTATATTCCTAGGAGACTTTAACGCTCACCATCCTACATGGAGCATAGATGATAAAATAGATAATCATGGCAAATTAATCTCCGAATGGATAGAAACAAACGACCTAGTAGTCCTAAATAACAACCAACCCACGAGGTACGATAAGATAAACCAAAAAATGTCGGCTATCGACCTAACCATATGCACCGCAGATCTAGCTCAAAGTACTCAATGGGAAGTGGACGATGTCCCGCTAGGTAGTGACCACTTCCCCATAAACATAACCATAGGAAATACAAACGTACCAATCCAAACAGAAAACCAAGAACCAAAATTCCATTACAATATAGCTAACAGGGACCAATTCCAAGATATCTGCAACGAAGCTAACTTAAACGAAATAGAAAATAATGATCCAGAAACCTATTGTAAAAACCTAACAGACTATATAATAAACGCATCCAAAACCTCCATCCCCTTCAAAACATCTAAGACAGGCAAACCCACGGTACCATGGTGGAATGAGGAAATAGAACAGACTAGACGAAAACGTAAATCAGCCTTCAATAAAGCAAAACGCGACTACAAACATCTAAACATAGCCCACGAACTAAACCACCAGGCTCAAAAACTAGTCCAAATAGCCAAAAGTAGAGACTGGAATTTTTTTTGCGAAGGTATAAATAACCGTACAGATGCCAGAACGGTCTGGCGCAAAATCCACACCATTAGAGGCTTAAAACGACATAAAAAAAACCTAACATTAACAACTCAACCAACCCCGCCCAAAAAGCAAATAATCTCGCCAACCACTTTTCGGCCGTGAGCAGTAACACTTCAGCCAAAAATTCCAAGATAAACTTAAAACAGAAAACAAACCCACAAAAAAACCAAACAATAACAATCTAGAAATAAACCAACCCTACACAATGGAGGAGCTCCTCTACGTAATCCAAAACAGGAAAAGGGGACAGCCCCAGGATTAGACCTAACTTATTACCAAATAATTAAAAAATTCCCCCTAACTACTCCATGCTATACTCAAACTATACAATCTCATCTACCTAAACGCCCTAGTCATACCAATCCCTAAACCTAATAAACCAGCTAATCAAGCTAACTCATATAGACCAATATCCCTAACTTCAAACTAATGCAAAGTAATGGAATCAATGGCTAAAAATAGACTACAACATTACCTAACCCAAAATAACATCATCAGATCAAAGCGGTTTCACAACTGGCCGCTCAACCCTAGATAACCTCGCCCGACTAGAGCAAGATATTAAGACAGGACAACTAAATAAACAATATACCACAGGCATCTTCTTAGACTTCTCTAAAGCTTTCGACATGGTATGGCACGAAGGGCTAATACAAAAACTTTAAAAAATAGGACTCAAAGGTCAGATAATAAACTACATCCAGGACTTCCTAAACAATCGTAAAATAACCGTGGGTATAGACCAAACACTATCGGACCAATGTCCCCTAGAAAATGGCACTCCCCAGGGCAGTATCCTCAGCCCCACCCTCTTCAATATAATGATAAACGATCTATTCGAGGGCCTATCCCCTAAACTAAACACATCAAAATTCGCGGGTGATGGAGCCCTCTGGATCCGCACTAAAAGCATTAAAATGGCCCAAAATGTACTCCAAAAATCTCTAAATAAAATACAACAATGGGCTGACAATTGGGGCTTCTCCCTTAACTCAGAAAAAACAACAGGAATAGTATTCAAACATAAAAACATGAAACCCGCCTCCCCAATCCTCCAGCTAAACAAACAAACAATCAAATTTCAAAAACAAACCAAATTCTTAGGACTTATTTTCGATGAACATCTCTCCTGGGATGCTCTCATCCAAAACCTAACAACTAAATGCAGTAAAGACCTAAACACGCTAGGATGCCTAACTGGCTTTAACTGGGGAGCCTCCAAAGATACCCTCCTCTCTCTCTACATATCACTAATTAGATCAAAACTAGACTACGGCTGCGCCATATACAACACCCTAAACAACTCTCTATCTAAAAAACTTGACTCAATACAATATCAGGCTCTCAAACTAATTACACGCACCCAACATGGCACCTCCTACACTTCACTTCAGGCCTTAACAGGAGAAATGCCACTAAGTCTACGCAGGGAACAGCTAAGCTTAAATTTCTGGGCCGCGTCCCAATCAAACCCTCTCATCCAAAACTTAATAAACCAAAACATCAGCCCCAAAAACCCAGCTCTAGCTCGTAAACACCCCTTACTTACCCCAATATCCCAAAGAATAACAAACTACCTAAATGAACACCAAATTAAAAATCTTAAACAAAACTGCAAACAATCAAATATCTTCACCCCTAAACTTAAAATACCCAAAATAGACACAGCACTAGCTAGCCAAATAAATAAACAAACCGACCCAAACATAGCTAAAACCACCACACTAGCATACATACACGAAAATAGGCAAAATTGGCGTCACATTTACACGGACGGATCTTTAGATCCGACCTCCAAACACACAGGTTTCGGAGTCCATACCACACAACCAACTAAAACCACACAATCCTTCCGACTCCCAAACTACCAATCAATATTCACGGCAGAACTAATGGGCATGGCCTCAGCCCTCCATAATCAAGAATCCAAAAACCACCAAAAGAAATTCTAATACTTACCGACTCCCTAAGTGGACTGCAAGCCCTCCAAAACAAAAATACCAAAAACCGACCTAAATTAATAAATCAAATACTTAAAAGCTCCAACGACCTAACTAAGGTAGGCAAATAAATAACATTCTTATGGATCCCCGCCCACGTAGGAATATACGGTAATGAAAACGCCGATAAAGCAGCTAAACTAGCTATCCCTCAAAATCCCAGAAATAAGCTTAAACTTACCCATCTCAAAATCAGAAATTAAAAGTTGAAACAAGCAAAAAATCACCAAAAAATTGCATAACCTATATCTAAACTCTAATAGCCATATCAAAAAAGTACTCAGCAAACCACTAACCAAACCCAAAACTCTCCTTCGATAAAAAAAATTCACTTAAGTAATCACTAAACTCCAAACAGGACACACCAACCTAAATAACCACCTAAAAAAAACCCACACACTACAGGTAACTGCCCGCACTGCAAACAACTAGAAACCCCGGAACACGCACTCATCCACTGCACATTATACCTAACACATCGAAACGCATTACAAACCACCCTCAATCTAAACAAGGCTCTCACTCTAGAAGCAATACTAAACCCACAAAATAAACTAGAAAACTTCAAGGCCTTAGGCGTATTCTTAATCAAAACAGCATCTAAACACAAACTAATCTACCAAATCAAAATCACATAAACAAACAAACATTCACCATACCCAGCTCCCTTAGTTCTCCTCACCAACCCCATCGGCATCTATTCCAGATCTCAAAATTCCCAAATTCTATATAAGCAACCCCTTAAGCCCCCTCTTGGGTTGTAGACACCATTTTAGCCTCTTTCGGAAACACATTAAATGGCCTGGCCGGGCCCGTGTGCGAAATACGCATCAGTCGGAAAGCGCAAGTTAAATCTCCAAAGTAAGTAAGTAAGTAAGCTTGAGTCGAGGTGCCGTTTTCGCTTGAGTCGAGATGCCGTTTTCGCCCGGTGACGTTTTGCTAAGGTGCCGATTTCGCTATAACCCACATTTGGCTCCACAAGGGAGATAACCTTTCCAAAAGTTAAGGCTTTTTCATTCGTGCCCATATTTGTCTTATTCTTACCAGTATATCTTAGGTGTCCATCTGGCACTTGCTTATTGCTAGTTTCGATATGATTGATATCAAAAGATCTTGAATAATGTTTTCATTAAAAACGCTTCATTTAACCAAATCAAATTCAACCATATAAGTTTGTGCGGAGGTAGTTAACTTCCGGCTAATGGCGGACACGCTTATAAACATTGAATAATTTATGATATAATCGACGGTGTTGAATATGCCAGGGGGGCGTCGGATATTGTCGAGGATTCAGTCATCCTCCTCGTATCCCTCGTCTGTTCACAAAGGATCTGGAGCAGCTGGAATGTGAGAAACATCATTGTTGCGAATAGGAAAATGTGATGAATAACACCTCATATTTCGCGCAATATAGCTACATTGACCTGGTATTGATAACAGACAATCGTATCAAATTAAGTATAAGTATGTACGTATACATGACCACATGAATTAGGGACCACGATGAATAAATTGTACATTGGTGATTGACCAGAATAAAAAGGATTCATCAAAATCGAGTGTTCTTTCGAAAATACAGGAACTTGAAACACTATCGGAGCTTTCAACATCTAAATACCAACCTGGTCACGACCATTTACTTAATCATCAAGTTTATTCA